ATTGCCCCTTGTTTAACCCTTGCTTTTCGAAAAGATGCAGGGGGCATGGCCACCGTGTGTACTGCCATGGCCACCGTGTGTACTGCCATGCCAACGAAGCTGGTAAACAAAGGTGAGGATGCCTGGAAAGGACGCGTTCCAAACGTACCTGTAGCGTACCTGCAGAAGTCAAAAGAGCAAGACGTGGTTTCGACGATGAAGAGCCAACAGCCAGCTGTCACTGGGTAGTGTGTGTGCGTGATTATGCGTGCGCGTCTGCGCGTGTATTTATGTGTTTATATGAGTGTTAAACTGTCTGGGTATATATATATATATATACATATCTGTATATATATATACACACACATATGAATACACAACGTACGTATCTATATAATTGCACGCATACCTAAGCGTATATATATATATATATATATATATATATATATATATGTGTATATATATATATATATATATATTTATGTATATATGTTATTATAATGTATACATATGTGTATGCACGCACAAATATACATATATGTATACATGATCATACATGCATACAAAGGTATATGCATAATTGCATATGTATGTATGTCTGCCTGTATGGATGTATGAACATATGCACGCATGTATGTATGTATGTATGTGTGCGCATGTGTATGTGTATGCAGATGTATATGTATGTATATAAATACATATGTGTGCAACTGCAAAACTGTACGAAGTTCGGACATATGTACACTTGCAAAGAAATGGGTGCACCTTTACCGATGTACTTGCATTTTGCCACATTACGTTGCTTTGGCCGCACTGTACTAAATTTAGCTTACCTGGCTTGACTTTACTTGATGCAGCCTGGCGTGCCCCTTCATGTAGCTGGTGTCAGTTTGTAACTTTGGCATCAACCTTTTAAGTATGCTTTGTGGAGCTCTGTCGTGCGTGTACTTTGCATTGCTATGCTTTATTTGGCTTTACCCTGTTTCACATCACCTTCCACCTGTTACACAATATGTTGCATTGCGTTCTGCTGCATGACAATAGCGTATGATCTACGTTGAACTACGCTACGTCATATCATGTCATATCACATCACCTCACATCACATGTCATTGCATCGTGTCGCATCGCAGCATGTCTCACAGTGTAACGCACCAACTTATGCCACTCGCCTCACGTCACATCACATCATATCACATCCCCTCTCATCCCATCCCATCCCTCCAGTCACCCGTACATCCGCCTTTCCATCCATACATACATACGAACTTACTTACATGCATGTTGAAGGCTGTGTAGACATGCCCCACATTGGGGCGTTCCAATTTCGTGCTCGTTCTGCCGTTGGTGAATGTTTGATAACATGTGTTCAGAATGGTTCCTTGATTTCAACTCATCTCTAAAATTAGTCCTAAAAATCATCCACACCCTTAATGCCTCCCTGCACAACTTAACCCTAGCTTCCACCCATTGCTAAGACCGCCGCAGACCATACAAAACCACACCCACACTTAAGAAGCGAGGCCTTAATTTGTCAGCCAGGAAGAAAAAATGACAAGAAGGCTTTTGAACACGAGACTCTGACAGACAATTCCAGGCCCTCAAACCCTCAAGCCAGGGTTCCTTGTTTGGGATTCAAGCCTCCGGCTTCAGGGTATAGGTTCGAGGACCCTCAGCCCAGTCCCCCTCTGCCGGCCACGGTGAGGCGGCAGTGGCGGCCGAAGCAGCGATCGACTCATTGTAGCGGAACCCTGGATCAGATCCTGGCTCAGGGCTTCGGTCGGAAGTGGATGTGATTAGATAATGCTCTCGTCGTCATGCATGCTGGTACTGGCACCTATTACGAGCTCTGTTGAGCTGACGGTCTTACTCTCGGGCCTCGAAGGAAGGGGTTGGACTGCCTTTGCTTGGCCCGAATGGGATTCACCCAGCCCTACCCAAACGCTCGCACGCAACCCTTGAAGACAAGTACTAAACATCACAATCCCTGAACTCTGGCAAGATCAGCCATCCGGCGTCTTCGAATTGTCCAACACTTGCAATGACAGCTGTCACAACCTCCTCAACATGTCAGGAATTCACTGAAAAGATGACACTCAAGCAGCAATCGGACGCGGACGCACAGCTGAAATTGCACTCCTTGATCATTCAGTATCTGGTCATTGAAAAGGGGCAACGCTGGTACTCACGTGGGGCTTCAAGCACCTCTTCCAACATCCTTAATTAAGGAGCATATACCTTGATTACGTTACAGTAGGATCCTTATCTGATTTCATGCAGGTATATAACCCTTAGTTGCCTTGGTTAAGGGGCTAGAAGGTCTGGGTGCTACAGCTATGGAGCATGTCAAGACTGAGTGGGGTTCGCTTCTGCACCACGTGAACCAGCATCACATTCAAACAGTATGGGCTTCGGAAATGCGATTCCGTGACCCATTGTGCAAACATGCATTCTGCAGCGCTGCGCATTCTTGGCGAGTACGTGCCGGTGCAGGCGAAGAATCGGCAAGTACCTCAAAGACATGCCACGGCCTGTGCTCTGCCGTCAGCCTCAGCGCTTTCAAACAATTCGCCAACTGTCACGCCATGGCTGGTCTCATTTGTAGGTTTTCTCGGAGACCCAGACGCGTTCTCTGCAGACCGCATTCGCGGCTGCTGCTTTGCAGCACAGGTTGGGACTGCTGCCAGTCCGATTTTAGGTTTGGGCTTATGCATGCGAGGCCCTGCAGCTTTAGGCCACTTACTTCATGTTGCTCCGGGACTCCGCTGCTGCAGCAGATAAGTATAAAAAGCGCCAGCGCGAGGATACAGGTTAACCTACCGTACTTTCTGTGGGATATAGATTTCTCATTCGGGCCTGTTCGGGCTTATTTATGGTAGTACCCTTAACTGCGCAGCTTAGAGAGAGATAGAGAGAACTGAGCAGTTCCTTCCCAACCTTGCAGCGGTAAGGTTACGTCCGGCCGCAAGAAAGGCCCAAGCTACCGTCAAAACAAACGACCTGTCCGAAGCAGGTTGCACATTTTGGCTACTGTGCGTTTTTGACTTCTGTTGAGAGGCCTTGAGGTTTGGAGCCGGTGCCAGGGCCATGCCAGCTGCAGATCGGAAGATCTGCCAGAATATGTGGGGTCTGATCAGGACTCCCACTCACTTGTCGCGGACACAGGTGGCCACGATTCTAGCCGGAGCTTCGCACGAAGCAGGCGGCAGGTGCTACCGGGAACAAAAGCGGCCCGCCATCTGGCCACGGCTCGGCCAGTGTTCATCCTCTTCAGCAAAGCTTTGCAAAACTGACGAGGCCGCCGTACAGTGAAACGGCCTGAATTCATGAAAAGCTCTTTCAAACCCTTGAAGAGCTGGAGAATACAGGCGGTTCAAACAAAAAGACTGGGCTGCGATGTTATCTCAGCCGTGTTATTCGCCCCAAGGTGCTTTGGCTGCTCTACTTGTATTGATAGCTGAGCTCCGAGGACAAGCTGCCGAAGGGAGTGAGGGCCGCGACCACAGTGCCGTCACCATCGAGCCATTCGAGGCCGGATGCTTCGTCGATGGAAAGACGCTCCGACGGCTGGAGGGCCAGGAGGCCCTCGACGAGCAACTTCAATTCCTCTGAGAAGCACTGGTCGATGTTCTTGGTAGGCTGAGGTTTCTTGATCTTTCGGATCCTCCAAAATTTCCTGTGACCATGTTCTAGCACGTAATCGAAACACTTGCATCGGCCCTGAACCGTGCACAGCCACGGGTACGCCCTTGCGGCAGCTGAGAAAAGGACAACTCCCAAGCCGAAGGAATCGACCAGAAATGGGTCGTAGTAGGGTGTCAACGCCATCTCCGGTGCCTGAAGGCGAGAATGCTGGCGCGCTACAACCGAAAACCCTAGAACGACAAACAAATCTCTGGCGCCTGGTAAGAAGGCTTCCCACGATGGCCAGAAGTCATCTTTTCGCCGACGACGGCCATGCTAAAGTCTATAATCTTCACCTCGGGCGCTTGCCCCGCGCGGAGTCCCCCAAATCTTCACTCTCATAAACAAGGATTTCCGAAACGAATTTAGACAGTTCCCCACCTGAAGATGCCCATCCGTGGGGTTTTTGGAAACGAGGATGTTTTCCATCGAGAGGTCGCAGTGAGCAATGTAGCGATCATGTAGATATCTCATGGCTGAGAACAGCTGCACCATGAAGGGTTTCAGCGCCTTTTCTCTGTCTAGGCCCGGTTCGGGTCCGTGAGTCACGAAAGTGAAGAAATCGCCTTCCTTGCTTGCCCAGCTTCTTATGGGAATTAAAGGCTTTGGGAGTGTACATGTAAACTTTACGACTTAACTCAAACAAGTGAGATCAATTTCTCGACTGCTCAGCTTCTGTGGCGACATCGGAGGCACAGTAAAGCCATGCGTTATCTCGAAAGATGCCCTGAGGGTGGCACAGGAAGTTGACTCCCTTCTTGCTCAGGTGCCGAACGATGCCGAGATCCACCCAAGGATTCTCTGTATCCTCTGGATGATGCAGTCGATGCTGTCGCTGGCCTTCACATGTTACATAGTAAGCGAGAAGAGCAATAACATGATCGAATCTAATCCAGCAGCAGCAGCAGCAAAACTACAGTGCCCATTCTATCTTGGCACCTGTCGAGGTCCAGGAAATAGGCATGACCTTCACTCACATGTCCTTGATTTCGAGCAGCTTTCTCCAGAGTCCGGTGAAACTCGAAGTTTGTCGGGCTCCACTGCTGGACCTCCGCACTCACCGCCTCGAAGTGGGCTTCCACCTCTTTGACTTCCTCAAGTGCAGCAAAGTCGATGCAACTTATGGGCGACACAGTCGAACCCGTCGGGCTAGTGGCACTGGCGGTCGAATCCGAAGGCAGGCTTCCAGCCGACTCTGAATACTTTTGCATATTCACGGCTCGGCAAGCCTCGCTCATCAGGACTTCTGCAGCCGTTTCAAGGCCGCAGCCATGCTCTGCCAAAGGCACAGTCTTGACTCCACTGTCCGATGCTGTGGACTGGTACCCTCCCGACATTGCGACTCTGAGCATTCCAGTCTTAAGCCAGACGGCTATGGGCTTCAGCATTTCAGGTTCTGGATTTGGGGTACACTCAAAGCCTAAGCCACAACGGCATTGCCGTGTTTATCACCCACAGATCCAAAGCTCTCCCTAGTTTGGCGCAAATCCTGACCTGAAGAGGTTAGCGTCAGGGTCGGGGAGGCTTCACACCATTTGGAGTTTCGGACCAACGGGTTGGGGAGTTTGCCGTGGATAACGGCATCAATTGAGGCTTCCTGCCACGAGATCTGAGGATAGAGGGTTTCGGGTAGAAAGTCTCATTGCGAACATTGCGGCAGTTACATGTTGTACTATAAAAGCATTGAGCCCGATTGCTGTATTAAGTACTTCAGTCAGGGCTTCAGGGTTTGGGGCTTCTCGTCGTTCAGGTTCTGGTCTTGCCGGTCCCAGATTCTGAGATTTCTGGAGCATCAGCAATTGACCTTGAACCCGACTACATCCTAAACCCTGAACATGAAAAGCAACCGCAATTCCACGATCCGTGCTCGCTCTGGTCGCTGCCTCCTCAGCGCTGACCTCCCCAAGTTAGCTACATCAAGCACAGCTGCTGAGCTGCAGGAGTGTTGTGTTATGGCTCATGCAGGCAATTCTTGTATGACGCTCGCGGTTCTCTGCTCGAGGCTGCTGCTAATGCTACACAGGTCAACCAAGATGGTCTTCTCCTGTGGGCTCCCAAAATAAGTCTGCATTACTTCATGAGGCAATCGCAGAGTTGTCCATATGTCGTCTTCCTGTCGTCTTCTCTGGCTTGCACAGTTGGAGTCTGAGCTGCCATAGCAGCATGGAGCTTTCAACATCTTTAGTTACATTGAAAGCTACCATGGCTATTTGCATAGAGAACAAGCCTCTGAGCCTCATAGTAACATCGAGATTTGATTAATACTGCTCCAAAATCCTATTTCCCTTTGCCGCTGAGCCGAAACCCTAAGCCGGTCATGTCTAGACCCCTTCACTGGCAGACTTGAACCCGGAGTCTCTGCCATGAGCCAAAAAAACGACATGCCGGAATCATTCGCGAGCCTTGTCAGCGACGGTCACTGCCAGGGAATAGCTCAAGTCCTCCGACAACGCTTGGGTCGCCAAGATACACTTCTGGTCGAGCTGCTTAGAGGCGAACTAAAGCTTGCCAGCGGGATGTCTTTCATTTCTTGGGCCCATTAGAGAGGCCGGATCCGTGCAAAGCTAGAGCTGCATGCCAGAAGAAAAGATACAGGAGCCTGCATGGCTCGACTCGGTTTTGGGATGCCCTGCACTATAACTACAGGACTGCCGTGACTTCACAAACAAATTTTACGACACCCATGTGAAGACCAGATGAAAAACTGCATAGCACCAAAACTCGGCCCCCATCGCGGGTCCATCGGCGGTGTCTCGTCGCTCCTGTAGCTTCCATGGCAGTTCAGGTTCTGGTGTAGGAGTACAAGATTTACGGTTGAGGGCCGGCTGTTTACAAAACTTTCTAGACACACATCCGCAATTCCTGGGAAGTCGACCATTGTAGAATGCCAGTCGACACAGGACTATATGTCAATGTATCGTGCGCCTGGGCTCTCAAACGCCAGGTAAGAGGACTGCTCTCGATTATGGTCTTGTAGGAGCCGAGTCAGGCGAACCAGGTTTCCAAGCAGCCCCGCACTCTTGATTTCGAAGTGAACCCTGTGCAGTACACGACCTTACACCTGAAACCTAAACTTGGCTACAAAGGTACCCTAACCACCGTCAGTAGACAGTCAAACGCTCTCCTGGAGGTCAACATCGGCGTGCGAGGCGTGGTGCCGTTGGAGCCCCGGCCAAGGAGGAGAGGCCTTTTGGTGTGTCTGGAGCTTCGGGATTGTGGGGGCCTTGAGGGTTTGGTTTAGGGAGTCATGGCTGATCCGGGCTGTATAAGTTGGCTCGACCACTGAAAATTTAAGACCGAGTGTTAGAAATAGGGTTCGCATCAATGTCATTATCAGGATCATGACGTTCTAGTTTACTTTACGATCTAATATCGAATTATGTTGTATTCGTTTTGATGACATGAAATATTGCCTGGACTGAGTGTTCGCCCTAAACCGCAGAGCCCCAACACTTTGTACCCTGGGCATGCGCCTCGGAAGCTCCTCGCCAGCTGCAAGGGCCTTGAAACGGCATGGATTCTGAGGGGATTACAGGTACCGGTAGCCCACAGAGATCTACATAGGTGAATGATGTTTACAGGAAAGATTGATAAGGGGCTCCGTAGATGTAGATTTTTGATCCAAAGCTAGAGCTTGGCGAGCATGCTTACTTTGTGTTCTATATGGGTAGAAGCAGAAACTCCCTGCCCATCCTCGAACCCTCAAGAGCAGGCAGAGCGCAGCACCCCGGAGACCAACACGGATTCTGCAAACGATGCGATGCAACCCATGTTGATGAGGCCATCGTTCGGGGATCCAATTTTTCGAGGCTTCCGAGTCTCGGTGGTGCGATGCGAATACAACGGAATGCCACGGATGCCATGAAATCTATATCTGCCCTGCCACATGCTGCACCAGCTCAGCTCTCGAAAACCGGGGATACCTGAAGTGCCAACATCAATAGGTTCAATAGAAAGCACCATCAGACACTCACTGCGAATTGCAAGACGGTCACACACTGATCAATTCTGGACGCACGAAAGCCGACCTTGCCGCACAAGCATTGACACAAAGCAGCACAAGGACATCGACCGACAGAGCTACAGAAATAGAGAGCACGAGGTAGGGCAGGAGCTGCGAGTTGCTTTACCAACAACCTTTTGCGCAACAAAGCCTTCAGTAGCTTTGCCTCTGCGAAACGAAAAGAGGATGTGCTGCAAAGCTCTGCAGCACATCGACACCCTCAACAACAAATCTTGAGTTCCTCAACTCCAACAGTAAACTTAAGATCTCCCAACCCTGAAACTTCGCATCCCCCGGGACTCCGGTCAAGTGCTTCCCTCGTCCGCTCCACGTCCCTGGCCAGGTCCAGCGCCTGGGCTTGGACTTGCGATCCGCCGAAGCGTGCGAACATAGAAGCCTGAACGTGGTTCCGGGGCCTTAGACGGCTTTAGGGCTGACGGCGACGATTGGTGTCAACCGCTTCAGGTTGAGAGCCTCTAAGCTTTGGGAGGTCAGAGTTTCAGTGTCTGAGGCTTCAGGGCTAAGGGCTTAGATTCGGGTTCAGGTCTGTATCATCGCTGATGGTTCGCGATGATGGTGCAAGTTTAAGGCCCATGATGGTCCATGCGCAGTGTAAACCTGGGACACAATGGCACCTTAGTGTTGGAGGTAGTGGTAGTATAAGGATTTAGGGAGTGCCTCAGCAGCTTTCGGTTTGGAGCTGTCAGCTTTACAGTGCAGGGTCGAGGATCTGCCGGTGTTGGGACTCAGGGTGTTCCCTCAAAGGTTCAAGAGCACTCCGACCGAAGGAGTGGAGTCTGATTGGGATCTTGGGGATACCTTCTGCTCGAGTGTGTTGAGGATGACTCAGGATGGCCTATGCTTGCTCCGGCGTATACACAAGAAACAGGATATGCATCCTGTGCGGGGTTTGGTTTGTAATTTTCCGACCCTCTGGATGGCTGAAGGCTCATCCACCATGTGCCTACTCCAAACCCAAACCTTCAATCCCAGCCCTGACGGCACAAGCAGCTGGTTGAAGTCCCAACCATGATGTTCTCTTTTCTTTCGTTCGAACCGGCCTGCATAACATGGAATACACACCCTTGGCATGTTGGCTGGAATGCCATGAAACCGATCAGCCAGTCCTCTTCCGAAGCCTCAAAAACACTGCCTGTCTATGCAGTCTATGCGGGAATACATTGCAGCCTGGAGCCCAAGAGCTCTAAAGCACGTATTCCGGACAACCGAAACCCGTTCACGAACACAAGAAAATTAAGAAAAGGCACCGCAAACCATGACAGAGAAAATCTTTCAATAGCCTAAGCTCTCTGGGATTCCACGCCGTTTTACGCGCATCGTCAGTCAGAGCCTGGGCCACGATGAACTGCCCGGACCGCGGCGTGTCTGAGGCCACCTCCGGGCGTCTCAGGTCTCTCCGGCGTAGCACGGACCCTGAAGTCGCCCTGAGGCCTTTACCCTGAGAAACCTCCCTCTCCCAACCCTGAGAGTTAGCGGGTGAGGGGCTCTCCCAAGCCCCTTTAGAGCCGCTCGTGGCCTGCTGGTCTAGCATAGACTCTAGAAACAGGTCCGGGGGTGTCTCTTGCGTTGCAGTGAACTATATTGTGGTCATCAATGTTCTTACTTCCAAACTCTCCTGCTTCGTACCAAAATCCACAACTCAGACACTTGCAGGCACAAAGGGTGCGGGCTTTGCGGGTTGGGCTGTTGCACGATCAGCTCATGCGACGTCAGCCCACGTGTCTGAACCTTGAGAATGATCCGCGGAGCCACACAGCAAGAGACTCGGTTCGTACACCCAGGTACACCATAATTATGGGTGTTTCCGAGAATTAGGGTACCTTACTTTGGGGTCCTTATAGTAAGGATCCCACTATTTAGGGTACTATATCAAGGGTCCCCTATTTTCGGAAACTCCCATATGCTACCATGCTATCTTTCGCGTACCCTCACGGCCTGGCCTTGTTTGGCCAAGTGTCTGCCAGGCTTGGACCTATGGGCAAGTTGGTGGAACTTGCTGTGGTATGGAATTCAAGCTCGTGGTTTGGATTTAGGAGGCAGCTGAGCATGTCTCTACCATTTAAATTAAGGCCACTTTGGGACTGAGGCTTGTGGATTTGAAAGTTTGGAAAGTGGCTGTGGCTGTTGCTGAGGCTTGAGCGTCCCAAAAGCAAACTCTTTGGCATAAGATGTTTGATGCCAAAGTTCTGGGTCTGGTTTGCAGGCCAAGAAACCCCAACTCGAAAACTCGTAAACAAACGGACTCTGTAAACCTTGTAGAGCTCAATCACGTAAACCCGGAAGCTTCAACCAAAGAACTCAAACACCAAACTC